GGGTAGGGTTGGTGGTATATCAGGGATTGAACTCAGGGACATTCAACCACTGAGCCACATCCCCAGCCCTATTTTGTATTTTATTTAGAGATAGGGTCTCACTGAGTTGCTTAGCACCTTGCTTTTGTTGAGGCTGGCTTTGAACTCAGGATTCTCCTGTCTTAGCCTCCCAAGCCACTGAGATTATAGGTGTGCACCACCAAGCCTGGTCAAGATACACAACTTTTGAGCACAGACATGGTACCATAAATAGAAAATTCCTCACCATGTTTCATGCACAGAAATATTTAAAACATTGTATCAAATTACCTTCAGTCTATGTATATGGTATGTATCAAACATAAATTAATTTTGTGTTTAGACTTGGGTTCCATTACCAAGATATCGCATTATATGTATGGAAATATTCCAAAATCTGAAAAATCCCGAATCCAAAACACTTTTGGTCTTATGCATTCTGGGTAAGGGTAAGGGCAACTCAATCTGTACTCTAATTCCAGGGAAGTAAGTCCATATTTAGAGAATCAACACAGACACAAAACAGCAAACAGCCAGCAGGATTCCAGGTTGAGATTAAAGGAAATCGGCAAGAGCAGAGGAAATAATAACATTCCAAAGCCACACACCAGACTCAAGGGCCCGAGGGCAGTGCACACGAGGTACCACACATGGCCCAAGGGGAGTCTTGTAAACACTAATCCCAGACACAGACACGCTCTCTGCCCTGTTTTATGAATTCCGCTGGGCGTGGGGCAGGTGTGTACCTGCCTGTAAACCAGAGAGGAGTGAGCCCTGCAGGTGCTGGGGCTCCTACATGTGGGAGAGACTCGGGAGGGACAGTGGGTGCTCCCCATGACTTTTCCTGGGACTCAGGATCCTTTTTACTTCTCCATACTCCCCTGTCACCCTCCTCCCTTTCCTGTTTTATTCTTAGATGGCATGTGGAATCTCTTCTGATTATCTCCCTCAAATAAAATTCTGTTTAAGTCTTTGTTGAGGTGGCTTTTCTAGTAAAAGCAGAGAGGACCTCACTGCCCTCTAGAGAATGGAGTTGAAGACTGGGTAAGTGTGGATTTTGACCCCAACTAAAGATATCTCACTCTATAATCACTGGAAGAACCTCATATGTGAGTAGTTTTCCCCACAAAATTGCTCTGTGAGGCAGGATCACTCTGAAATTTCGGGGACAAGCTTCAGTTCATTTATGAAGCCATTGTGACTGTTGGCTAGTGAATTCCAACAGGGGTCCTAATTACAGGAAGGGTGTTTAAAATGTCACTCTTTCTTACTCTGATGTGCTTCCTCCAGGAAGGAAAGCCAGCAAAGCGCAGATGATCTTTCTCTCACTGTTGCAGGATTACAGGTTCCCCTAAAGTATGTCCTGGGCCTCAAGGTCCTTCTCAGACATAGTGGGAAGTACCAGAAAGAGTAGGAGAGCAGAGACAGCCTGGTTTTAGCTTAGGTTTTAATATTGATAAGGATCCTTCTCCCATTCTCTCCAGCATCTGAAGGCCTTCTAGGAAAGATTCTGGCACTTAGAGAGCTGGGACCCCTTAGTAGCAGGATTGCCTGGAGTGCTGAGGCCTGGAGAGGAAGCTAAGCCAAGTCAGAGGGAAAAGCAGGGGCTCAAGTCCCATAGTCAGAAAGTGGAGGTAAGGACCCAGAACCACAAGTTGAGAGTTGGGCAGGAGATGCTGGCATTAGCTTAGTGAGTACATTGTTGGGTACCTTGTTACCCTTTAGATCCAGCCACTGAGATTAGCCAGTGATCACCAATAGCTGGCAGATCTAGGATTAGATTCAGTTCTGTAAAGCCCAGGAAAGATTTTGTGGTTATAACCTCTAGCCCACCAATTATGTTGGGTCCATTCTGACCTTGGGTGAGAAGGATGCTAAAAATCACCCCTGAGCAATGAAATGGGAAGACAGGAAATTAAAATGGAATTCCAGTGTTATTTGAACTCCATATTAAACTCTTTTTCTTATTTTTTAAAATTTGGCCAAATAAGAACTTTAGGTGATACTTGAGATGAAATCCTTGAGAAAAAAATGGATGATGATTATTCTAGTAGATTCACAGAGAAGATTATAGATAGAGAAATTTGTAGTCATGCAATCTTTTACAAGTCATCTGACCTCTGTGAGTTACACTGGATGGGCTCCACAGAGCTCAAGGTTGACACCAATACAAACTCCTTTGGTTTCCTTGAGAATTCTTAACCTTGATTTAATTTCTATATCCTGATCTGTTAGGATTAAGATCTGGCAGGTGTAAAGTTTTCCTAAACTTTGTCCCTCAAATCCTGGTCCCCAGACCAGTAGCAACATCTTGAGAACTGGAAAGACATGTAAATCTTAAGGGTCCTACTCCAGTCCTATGGAATCAGAATCTTTGGAGATAGCCCTAGGAAATGTTCCTCAATCAGGCTTCTGGATGCTTTTGAAATGCATTAAAATTTGAGAAGACCTGAACTGGAATAAAAAAAAAAAGTCAGTATAAAATAAAAAAAGGTAGCTCAGACTTTGACTTAGACAATTATTAGCTATGAGACCTTGTACAAGTGATTATCTCTCTGTGCCTCAGTTTACTGGTTCTGAAATTGTTGGGTCTGCCTTATAAAGTTGTTGAGAAAAACAAATGAGATAATGTAGGAAAATTCTGTATGTGGCACCTTTCCCAGTGTTCAGTGGGTACTCAGCACATGTTACCCATTATTCACTATGATTATCACAACCCCAGCTGCCACTAGCTCTGGAAGCCCCCACTATGGGATCCCTATGCTTCCT